CGCGCAGATCGATATCACTAAAAGATTGGATTAATCACTTCAGAATTATCAACTTCACCGCAACACTCAATTCATTCGGATCAGTAGAGATACATAAAATTTTGGATGAAACAATGACACTCGAAGCGAAGGTGATTGAAGCAACGATAATGATACCATCGATGATGATAACAGTGTGATGAAACAACAACAAAGTGAATACCTTGATTGTCCAGATATAAGAAACTGTAATTCGTGGGGTGCGAATAAAGCGAGCCAATTCGCGTTCAGAATCGAAAGAAAGCCAGAAACAAATGCACGACATTGCTCTTTGGTTTGATTGAATACTCTGTATTGAGCCATTTTATGCACATACGCTATCCTATAATTACACATCAATTACCAATTTATGCGATCATAGTAAACACTCAATGAAATAACCACTCAAATGGAATAATGACAAAATACGACAATGTCCAACTGAATCATACTCAAAATCACATTCACAAATTCAACTATTGATAATTCGAAAGGATATCAAATTCTCCAACTATTCTCCTTTACAGCACATACGTTGACATTCTAATGGATTCGCTGCAGAAACGAATTTCCATGTTCATGGAAAATGTAACTATGAACGGTCAGATGAGACGAACTTGTTTTCATTATTCACTTGAATTGTGCGTCCACCAGGTACCAAATCAACTGAATGCACCTGTCCCAATCGATCCTCATCGATCGAGAATGTCAGCGATAGATCAGCCACGTCGCCACTATCCGAATAATGTTTTATGTAAGTGAGACTTTTGTACAGTTCCGGATCCAGTTGAGATAACTCATCAAATGCACACAAACGACGCCCCAATACCGTCGCCAACAAAACAGGTGCTAAATGCACTTCGACAACAATTCCCTTCAACAATTAACAGTATTGAATAACCGCAAATGTAACTTCATCTACACGAGCAACTTTCTTTCATTTTCTGTTCTAATAAAAGTCTCGAATATCATGAGATCGAATTGAAGTAATCGTTTAGAAGAGCATCAACCCAATCAATCAAAAAAAAATTAACGCTAAAAACATATGAATTCAAAATCAATTGTTCGACAATAAAAAAGAAAAAAAGCAAGCACGCGCAGCCCAATAAATGTTTCATTTTCAAAGAAAACTTTTTTTTGCATT